TTAAACTCAGTTCCTGACTGCAAGCCCAGTACTCTATATTCACTGTGCTAACAGCTGTCTCTTGGCAGTCTTCAGTGAAGGGCTCCAAGGACTCTGTCCTTGGTTTTGCTGTTTTAAGTTTTTCTGTCAGTAGCTTTGTTGAATGTATAGACATCATGCTTACCAAATCTGAAAATCACTCAAAGTGGTGAGATTGCTATCACATTGAATGACAAAACTAGGATCCAAAATGATATAAGCTAGAATGACATGTCAAATCTAGGACAACTAGACCTGTGATCTCATTGATATTGGGAACTCCTAGAAGAGGAAAGTGACTACCATTGCAGGTCAGCACACTCATCTTAGAGTGTGGACTAGAATACTGAGAAGTTAAGTGACCTGACTAGGATCAAAAAGCTAATGTGTGAGTAGGACATTAGCCTAAGGCTTCCTATTTTTGAGGGTTAGCTCTCTATCCACACACTATTTAGGAAATTTAAACATCTAAGTACAGAACCACGGAGGTACGGCTAGACAATTTGTGTGAAAAAGATGTGGGAGCTGCAAGGTCTATATGAGTCAATGCTATTAATAATTAAAAAAAATCAAATTTAATCTCAGGCTTTGTTAGCAACAAGATAGTGTCCAGAAGAACGAAACTACTCTGTCTTAGCAAGACCACACCGAGTTCTGGACATCACATTTAGGGAGGAGAATGACAAACTGGAGGTTGACCAGGGATTTGAAGGGACATGAAACCACACTATACACATATATGTTGCAGGTACTAGGGACAGACACAGGGGAGAGATATGATCATTAAATAGTTGAAAAGGGTTCTAGATTTGCTTTGCTTGGCCCCAAAGGAGAGAATTAGGAGCAAGAGATGAAAATTGCAGGGGTAGATTTTTACCTTGATATAAAGAAAACTTCCTAATATGCTTTGGGAAGGTAGTAAATTTCTAATTACTAGGAAGCTTTAAGCACAATTTGGATGGCCATGTATAAGGGGTATAGAGAGGATTCTTAATCAAGTATGGATTAGTCTAGAACCTAGATAGTGAGAGCCCTAAGATTTTATAATTCTAAGAAACTTCACTTTTTATGTCGTATGCTATTTCATGCCCATCTCTAAACTTTTCTGCATTTATCTCAATAAGTATATGTGTGTGTGTGTGTGTGTGTGTGTGTGTGTGTATGTGTAGAAATTACCTACCCGTATGTTTTGGCTCAGCTCTTTATAAGGAGAGAATGTCCACACTTTTACTCCAACTAGAAAACAGTAACTCACCTGTGCAGTTTTATCCTGGTCTGGAATTAACCTTTCTCTGAAGGCAAACAAAGAGTCTAACCATGGAAAGTCTTGAATACTTACCTGCTGCAATGATAGCAAATCTCATGCTCCCTGTAAGGTTAACATGTGAAAGCCATATAACCTTGGGACTGTCCTTGGAAGTCACTGTTACTGGTATAATAACTCCTCTGAGAAACTTGAGTGTCAAGTCTTGACCTCAATTTTTAAAAAGGAGAAATGTGAATATTCAAAGTAAAATAATGCCCAGTAATTTTTTACATCAAGTCAAAAAGCATGCAAAGAAGAAGAAAAAAGTTTTGGTTAGCTCTTGAATAGTTAGAACCTCCTAGGGTCAGCCTCTCTTTTTGGTGTTTGAGACAGGAAGCACTAAAATGATGGGTTCATTGACACTAATAATTTCCACTGGCATCTCATCACATGAATCTTTGTGATTCATCAGTGATAAGAGGCAGTAAAAAGCACAGAATGTGTTCCTTCTGCTTGCTGTCTCCATCCAAAATAGAGGGGGTTATTCAGAGCTCGCCTGGGATCATTATTGAACTAAGGAACTTTGGCTGAGTTTTCACATGCAATCAGCACAGAACTTCCCATGCCTAAGGAAAATGACAGCTTCTTGTGTCAAGACAGTAGGAATGACCCCAGGAGCCATCCTCCAGCTGTGCTCAGATCCATCTCACTGTCACTGACTGATGAATACTCAATTTGTTAATGACATTTTTCAGTCTGTGACCTTCACTTCCCTTCCAAATCCTTTCCTGGCATTAAACTAACCTAATTTTGATAAATTGATTCAAAGGCCTATTATAGACAAGAGCCTTTCCCTCTTATTTTCCCCTTGTTTTTAGCTACCCTTTTGTGCTGTCTGCTCACATTTTCTTACACTATTATTAATTTTTTAAAAATGTTTCTTCTTTAAGTATTCTAAAATAAATACTGTGTTTTATTTCTTAACAATGATCTTTCAAGCCCCAGGTAGAACACTGGCTTAAAAAGAAAGCAGAGGTGAAAAGAAGAAAAGACTGACATAATGCTGAGTTCCAACTGTGGACTATAGATCTCAGAGTTTTTGGGAACTCTGTATTTGGGAAGCAAAGACTTTTAGCTTCCAGAATAAACTCTGAGTAAGACTTTACATTTATATGTATTAACTTCATTTTACTCAAATCAAATCAATAATAGTCTTGTCAAGGTCTTTTTGAATTCTTACTTATGGACCAGTGTTTGGTATCTAGAGATATATATCAACTGCAAATTTGATGAGGCTATCCTTTAAACCTGATCTAAGTCACTGTAAAAAATGTTAAACAGCATGGATCCTTGGCATACTCTAACGTAGCTCTCCTTCCAAGTTGATATCTAACCATTTTTTTTTTTTGGTTCAGGCACTCAACCAATTTCACATCCACTAAACCAGCCCACATCTCTCAATCTTTTCCATGAGAACACCATGACAGACTTTGACAAATGATTTACTAAAAACAACCATACAAACGATATTCCTCTTATCTACCAATCTAATAACCCTATCAAAAAAGGGAAATGAAGTTATAATGTTGGAAATAAAGCTGTTGAAACCACAACAAAAACCTACTGAGTGGAGAAATTTAAAAAGTAAAAGTCATTCCCTGCTAGCTAGAAAATAGCATTCAAGGCCTCTTTCCCTTCAGAGATTAGTCACTAGGTCATACTTTCTAAATTTCCTTGTTGGCCAACATTATTGGTTTCTTTATTAATGAAGGGATCTGTGTATTCTTCCTAGGTCCCAGTGATGTGCATGTTATTTGGGAGAAGAATGGACAAAAAATAGATGTGTGTGTCTCTGTCCAGACTCATGTACTGCCTGATGGCAAAGTATACTTGTTTAGTTGGGTCAAAGACACACTAAGAGAAAGTTCGGAGTATTGTTGTTCTTTTCTCTCTAAGACAGGAAACAAGGCCTCCAAAGCATGGATCACCGTGGACAGACAAGGTAGGTGGGCTGTCTTCTCATATCAGTCTCCTAACACTGGTTTTCCGAAGATTGTACTCTTTCTGTTAAAAGATAACCAATTCATTTAGCTAAAATGAATTATTTTAACACATTCTTTTTGGTATTTTGGACAGAGGGCCAATGGTAAACAATAAAAAACAATGAAAAGGGGCCACTTCATTTTTTTCTGAAAACAGTGCCTCCTTTTAGGGAAGAAAAGCAGGGGCTTTTCGAAGCTGGCTAGAATCACTGAGACAGCTATCACTAATTGAGATAACTATGGTAGCATAAATAACTTACATACTCATAAACCAAAAGCTTCATTTTAGTGTATAGCACTAACCTCTTTTTTCAGGTTTTGTCACAGACATTGATGAGGGCAGAGGAGAAACAATGAAAAGAAAGGAAATAAAAATTTTATGTCAATTGCAATTTCTTACCTTTTTACTTGGAACACCCTCTCTACAATTATTTGTTAATGCAGCCTACTAGTTATTTGTAAGACAACACATACACATCAACAGTCTTCAGTTCCCAATTTGGCTCACTATTGGATTTTAGAAAGCCTCTATGCTAACATTGGCCAGGCTGAAGAGCCATTTTAATGGCTATAAACATAAACCATAAACATTTCTCATGGCTTTCATTTGTACATTAGTTCACTTGTTCTGCTTTCCGTAACTAAAATGTTTAATAGTTCCTAAAATGTTGTGTGGTGAATCCCCATGGGCATGAATGCAAAGAAATGATGTAGTTAAGGTTTTATGCTTATGGAAACGTGATCATGACAGGTTTGTAAGGAAGCTAATTAAATGAAGTAAAGCTTCTAAGATTCTTGAAAAAAGCATATATTCTAGTTCATGTTAAATCTCTGTTACCACATTCATACTACAGATTTCAAGCACAGGCACTAAAGACAGCTCAAGTGAAAAGAAGTCTCATCAGTGGCAGACCCATCCCAATAGAATCGTCTACTATCTCTTGGAATATTTTTTTCATGCTTAGAAAGAATAAACTAACTACCACCTCGCACAAAAGTAGAAAAGGCAAAAAAGATGTGAAGACATATTAACAGACAGGAAGGTAGAGGATTCTTAGAGCACTAGCTTGAGATACCCCAGCATTTACCACTTATCCACCTACCCCTACCCTTTGATGTCTTTGAGGGAGACATCCTCTCCTGGTTGAGGTTGACAACTCAAGCAATATATTCCAGGGCTGTCTTGTGTCAGATTTCCTTTCACCTTGTGGAATTGTTTGTATTTTTCAGAGGCCACTCATCAAGAAAGCTGGACTAGAGAGCTCAATAATTGGAAGAGTGTGATTAATGAACATGACCAAATGATGCAGAACTGGAAAAAAGCCTGGGTAGGAGGATCTTTGGGTCATTTGTGTAGCTTCGCTCTGAAGTGAAACAATAGGTCTCTGCTTTTTAGGGTTTATGTCTTGCCTTTAGTTTTTTTATTCCCGTTTTTTTTTTCCTTCTACCCTCAGCTATCATTTAGAGACATCAAGGCAACTGTTACTTTGTTTTGGATATGCAAAGCTCTTCTCACGATAAGAGTGCCACGTATGATTTCCTGTTTATCTAGTATGAGAAATGCCCCTGTTATCTGGAAGAACTACACACTTCTCACAGATTATGGAAATGCTAATTAGGTAGCTAAAAAGACAATACCTCAGGGGTTGGGACAATGAATTCAAACATTCTTTATACATACACGTTAATTTCTCTTTAATGGGCATGTTTATTTTGTGATAAGTTGCACAACGTGAAGTTTCCTCACATGTCTAGATTATCTCAAAATGTCCTTTTTAGAGCTAAAACTTCAAATCCCATGATTCAAAGCTGGTGGCTGGAAACACAAATGGAATGCAATTTTTAAAACCTACCCATGGTGCACAAATGCCTTGCCCCCTACTCCACTTGGAGCTGCACCAAAGCTGGTAAAAAAAAAATTACAACTGGCAAATATGAAATAATACCTTCAGGTCTGGAGAGAATTCATCTTCAAAAGTAGCAATAATAAGATAGGAAGTATACTACCTTTTCTAATGGTCCACATTTCTGGCAATAACCAACAATGACCTCCTTAGAGAGTAATCTCATACCACTTGACGTACTAGAAATCTTTTTCTTTGTATTTTCTCCTTTCATCTCCTGAGAGAGAACCAGATCCTAAGCAGTAAGCCCTAAATCCTATTATAAAATACCAGTTTCTTCACAAGAGATCAGCTTGCGTACAGATTCAAGGGAAAAATCAAGCTTGATTTTCTTTCAGGAAAGCTGTAATACGGACACCTATTCAAACAAGAAGCTGGAGAAAAACTGATGAAAAACCATGGAAGTTAAAGCTCCTTCTATTCTAACCATACTTCAAGAAAGATTTCACATGGCTTAAAGCTGGAAATCAGTTCTTCAAAAGCAACCGAAAATGGAGAAATTAGAGCAAGATTTTTGTCACTATTTTGAAATTTCTTTTAAAAAATAAACCAGTTACTAATGAAATATTCACAATTTGAACATTGTTTTCTCTTAAGGCATGGAAATTCATGTTGTGTTCACTAGTACAGGAACATATAAAATCCCATCATCATTTTGGAAAATGAAGGTGGACAATGTGATCACCTATGATCTATTTCTATACTATTTTGTAATAGATGGTGGTTTACGCCTTCATAAAGTCTATGTTCTCCTTAGTATTATTTTTAAACATGAAAATCTTTTACTGGTTTTCACAGCAGTCTTGTGACAGTTCATGCTTTCTTATATTTCAATTTTTAGTGAATCATTTATGGATATAGCCTGTGCACATACCTTGAAAAGATAAAAGTGACAAGGTTTTTATTCTTAAATTTTATATATTGTATTAGGGTCCCAATTTCATCTTAAAATAGTTCATTTTTTTGGTATTAGGACATTTTAAACAAGTCTAGTACAGGATCTGTGTTTATGTTAAATCAAAGGTATTTTTACCATATAATTCAAATACTCAAACTAATGCTTAATTGTGGTTCTTAATATTTCCATACTGTTTTACTTTAGTTGTGTGTAAATTCACAACAAAACCTTGTTTTCTGTTGATAAGCTTTAGTTCACTAAGACATTTTGCATGTCCAGTAAGGAACAGAGAACTGTACCAGAACATATCACAGGATTAAGAATTTTTATTCAAAGTAAACCATGATTTAACCCTAGGTTAGCCATCTGTAGTATGTGCCCCAGAGTGTGTCACTGTGCTCTGATTTTCACAGTACCAGCCCTGACTTAATCAAGATTTAATGACTTGTTTACTCTGAGAGAAACTGTTTAAGAGGCTCCTATTGTGGCCCTTTCTGGCATTCTGTCAAAAAATTTGTAAAGGTTCTTTAGTGGTTCCTATAGTTTTTATTATGGGCATGGAACATGATATATAGAATACATGACAAGTGAATTAATGATGTTCTGTAAGGAATCAGGCTTTTTTTTTAAACTACAAAATTCATCTTGATTGAACTGTCTATAGTGTACTTCTACACTATGAAAATCAGCATATAGCTTATGGAATTATATATATATCTGTTCTGAAGTTTCATTAAAGGATGATTTTTTGGTATGCTGCATTGTTAAGAGTAAAAAAAAAATAATAGATCACCTCTTGTTACATGCATGTATTTTATATAGAAAGCTGCACCCATTATATATCTTAGAGTAATTAACACCATGTACATGGTAAATTATTTTATGTTTATTCTTGGCAAAATCCTGGTCCATTCCTCAACTATTTTCCCTGATTATTACTGCCATGAAACCAAAAAGGAACAACCCTAACTGAACGGGGTTTTGTACAATTGAGTGGGAAAGTTATTTTGAGTCTTACAAAGTATATTATTCTAAGTTTGAGGTTTAAAAAAAGTTACTATAATAGTTAATAACATGGGCCTAGAAACTTAAAAAAAAAGGGAGTTAACAGCAGGAGCTTGTTTCTAGACAACAGTAAAGATGTTTCAAAGTATCATTTTAGTTTTTAAATTACAGAATATCGGGTTTCAAGGAATAATGTGGCTTAAGGTATGCCAAAGATGCTTATGATTACTTGGGAGATGATTATTCGATATTAAATCTTCCTTACGATAAAGCAAATTATGTTTCCTGTCTAGTCTTTCAGAATTATCTTCTATATTTATCTACATTAGGTCAGTATGACTTATTCTTCGGCCACACTGATGAGAGGGGAAAAAAAAACTGAAAGAAACTTCTCTATACAATGTGATTAGCCAAAATAGAGACAAAGAGAGAAGCTCTAATGCCAATCTATGGAGCCTGTCAACAGCAGACTGACTTGCCTTTTCTCTAAGTATTGCCCGATATTCTACAAGTAACTTGTTTTAAAGGTTAGAGCACAAAGCACAGCACCATACATGACTGCTGATCTCAGCACAGATAGGAGAACCCATTTTAGCTTCATTTTTTTTTTTCCTTTAAAAAAATTAGCTCTTCATGTGACCTTTTTCCCTATGGCATGATCTGTTTCAACTAAACATATTTTGAAAGCTAAAAATGTTCTATTAGTTTGATATGCAGAGTATGTATTAAAATTTTACACTATCCTTAATTTGGTGAAACATAAATAGCAAAGTTAATTGAAGTCAAATTCAATCAGCCCTACTTAGGAAGATATTTTAGGAGTTACTCAAAATTATTCCCCATTTCAAAATATTAGTACAGGAACAAACTCCATCTTCTTTGAGATTATGTTATGTCTCCCACCCCCACTTTCCAAATTCAAGTTAAATAATCTCCAGACAATGATAAATTAAGAAAAGGTAGTATATTCCTCTTCCAACTTAAAGACCAAAGGAAATCAATTTTCATCTTTTCTCTTTGACTTAATTTTTTTTAGATATTATCAAGCCAATGTGAGATTTTTAACTTAAGTTTCTTTTATACCCTATACTATGTTGATTAAAAAAAAAGACTAAAAGTTATAAAATTTACATAAGACAGTGGGTTAAAAAAGCATTATTCCTTCTGAAGCTCTTCACAGCAACTTTTCTAAACATCCTCAACAGCTTTTACATTTAAACTGGTAAATTCCCAGGACCCTCATGGAATACTGTAATTTTTCTTAATCCTTGAGCTCTTCAGTACATTCACTACACTATGCTCTACTAAAAAACCAACAGCAATAATGGAGGAGGAAAAGCCTTAGCTGCACTGGTTCCTAGTAAAGAACAGAGATGAAATGAAGTTTCATAGCAAAGAGAGAGTTAAGATTTGGGGTGGTCTTTTTTTTTTCTTACTGCTAAAAATTATCATGATCAGCATAATGTCTGTCCACAAAATAGCCAGTTCTCTGAAAACTAAATAACTTGGTTTACTTATCTATAAATTTGTCTTTGGAGAGTAAAAAAGGAGCTGCTTTAGCAGCTGAGAATTAACAAGTCTCTTGTTTTCTAGTACTTCTCAGATCTACAATATACCCCACACTTCTCAAATCAATAAAGCCTATTTTACATAAAAGGCTTTGGAAAAAAGTATTAGTAACTGTTAACTTACTGTCCATTGTAAAGTATTAAGAGCTTGGTGCTTATTATATCATTTATCAACAAATACTGTATTAAATCATCAATTAATTTTGAAATTAAATATTCATACAAAATATTTTAAAACATTCATAAAGGATTGAGGAGAAAAGGGGAGACCACAAAATGATCATCTTTTCCCTACCCCTCCACCCCAAAACAAGTATACTTTTCTCATAAATTCAAGTTCAGCATTTCAGTGGTTGAAGTCTTCTCTAGTTCCAGTGCATACGGATTATATTCTTCAAGATTTTTCTTCCAGATTTTAACTAGAAGTAAAAGAAAACATTATAATTTAACATATGGTGCCAAAGTGTTATGAAAATGCCACATTTAAATCATAAATATCTTAGCTATAATGAGCTTATTGAACTTCTTAAGGCTCCAGAAAATAAGGGCTGCCTATTTCAGGACACACTTGTCTTTTTTATTTTGCTTCGATGGTTTGTTTTTATCTTTAACAAAGGTATGTCTTTTCTTAATCATTCAAATTTGGCCATGTTTTAACCCACATAAAACCGATAAAGGATCCAGTTTAAGTTACAAGAACATTTACAGAGAAAGGAAAACTGAAGCTACCTAGTCTGACTACTCAACAAAATGTGAGATTTTAAGTTTATAATCTTAACTGTAAAAGTAATGAGAAATCTGGATCAGAGTACACAGATTCATTAAGGATATGTAGGTATGGCTGTTTTCTACATGGTAACCTGTTATATATGGGACCTCGTCGAGAACTTAAGTGAGCTCAGATCCACTTAGTTTATAAAGTCTGATGAGATTACATTGGAAAAAGGTAGGTACACCAGGAAGCAAAAGACCTTATTTCAGATCTACTGCTACCTAGCTACCCTTTATGAAATCAAATCATAATGCCTGGTAAAACTACACTTTGGGATACCTGAAAGAACTATCAGATGTTATTGCTAAGCCAACGTCAGGGACCTTTCAGACTGTGGCGAATGAAGACGTACTACAGGAGTAAGGCAAGTATCTTGATTTTCAAAAAGGGGAAGAAAATGGAAAGTGGCAAATTGGCAGATCATAAAAATCTTGAAGGAATAACTAATATTTCAGAAGGCAGCAAAAACCTAAAAAAAAAATCTCAACAAGCTAGAACCATGAATCGATCAGAGCTAATAAAATTGATCTTTACAGTAGAGATAAATGTCAAGTTCTACAAGACTGCTACCATGATTAAGTTCTAGGGGCCACAGGGGATCCCAAGCTCAATATAAGAAAAAATCATGAAGTAGTAGCCAAAAATGCTAATGTAATTTTGTTCTATTTTAAGATAGGAACAATGTGGAAAAAATAAGTGATGGTCTCAGTCGAGGTCATACATATGTGATGCAGTATTCAATTCTATAATTGATATAATAACTCTATAAAGCTCCATTATAGGAATGACACTGACAATAGACAGTGCAAACAAGATATAGAATATATAAATCATCTGAGGATTATTTGAAGGAACTAAGGACATTTAGCCTGGAGATGCAACTTAGGGTAAATGTGACAGCTAACTTCATATAGGGCTGTCACATAGGAAAGAATTCAGAGTAATGGTAACTGAATGCTATAGAAAAGCAGAGTGAGATGGGATATAAAGAAAAAATTCCATAACGATCAGAGCTAACCAAAAATAGACTGGAATCCTTTAGGAAGGAGAGGGGAGTCCCTCACTACAGACTGCAAGCAAAAGCGGGATGATCAGTATGCCATGGAGGGAATTTTGTTCAGCTAAAAGTTACACTAAATAGCCTATCAAATTTCTTCTAGCTCTAAGATTATGTAGTAACTACTTGCTCTTAAGAAAGTAAGAATGTTTGGGGTTTCAGTTTCTTCATCAGTAAAGTAAAGGAAAGTATCAATAATGTAGAGGAAAACAACATTAGAATTTGGTCACTGCAGTAACTTCATGTGACCAGAGGACTGATGGTGAATCCTACCTCTAGGCAGACAGACAGTGCTACACAATGAAGAATACATTTCCAGACATGGTCAATGAGTTGATCTGTTTTACTAGACTGTACTTATTTGTTACATGGGAAGGTTATATTGGAGGTGAGTGTGGAAAGTCACTGGGAAGTTATAATTTTAAAAGATCATCAGTAAATCTTTTTAAAAAGACTATAATACAACAAGGTTAATAGACTAGGTGACCTTTAGGATTCCTTTTAGCGTGGATCTTCCATGAACTTCAATAAACACTATGGCCTCAAATCATATTGTAATGATTCCTGTTATGATGATCTTAGGAACACTGGTTAAAGTAGAAGAAACATTATCATTATCAAACAATAGTAAGAATTCCGAACAAGTCACTGTGTGCTACTTACTGTAATTTGGTTCTTCCTCTTTTGTTGTGTCAGTTGTTTTACTAAGTTCTGAAGAGCAACTCTGGCCCTGTGGAGGAAGCGAGGGGGGTAGAGGATTCTCCATGTCTAGTGCTTCAGCTCCTTCTTTTAAAGTGGCTAACATAACCTTATATGCCTGTCTGGCTTCCATCGTAAGCTCTATCATCTTGCGAAATTGATCCTGGGACAGAAGAAAAAGCAAATTCTTGATTCCTAAACCGAAAGCTTGCCTAATTATTTTTTTCTTAAAATCTTTTTATCTTAAAATTCTAGAAGAATGTCAGTACTAGAACAAAACATAACATAAAATAACAACATATTGTTATAAATAACAATAAAAGAAACAATTATCTTAATAAATTATTTGCTGAAAATGGGTGGAGTGGCAGTGATAAGGATAAAGCGGTCAACAGTCCAGGAGCAGTTCAAATGCAACCTCTTCAATGAAACCTAATGTCCTATACCACTTATTTCCCATCACTCCTGAACCGCTACATTCTCCTCTACTCTTGAATTCCTTTGCCACCTTGTTCTAATCTATTATATTTTGCTGAAAAACACTTCCTGGACTGTTCCCATCATCCAGCTCCTTCACTCCTATTCACATGTAGCTTACCAGAGATGGAAGAAATCAAGAAACTCTGTTGATTTACATTACCTAATCACAACTGGGTCATCCCATCACAATCACTGTAGCAAAGCAATCCTTTAATAATCAGTTTGCTTTTTAATAATCAGTGGCTGTTTTAGATCTTCTCTCCTCAATCCTCCCACAGCATCCCCTTAAAAAAGGAATTTGCCTCATATGTCACTGAAAAAACTTAGGCCACTGGCTCTTCCTCCTTATCTCATGTTACTCATGGACCTTCCCTCATTCTCCCTTCATTCCTGTCTCAGATGAAGAGGTGGCCCTTCTCTTGATCAAGGCAAATTCTTCTACATGAGCTCTTGATCCCATCCCTCTCTCTCCTACAACAAGCTCCCGTCCCACTATGACACCATCACCTTCAAAACACTCTGTCTTACAGTTCCTCTCTTGCTACCTACAAACATGTTTGTGTCTCTCTCCAATCCTTACAAAACACTTACGTGACCCAACCACTAGTTACCATCCTATATCTCTCCCTACATTTTTGGTGAAACAGATTGAGAAAGTCATCAAACCTCTGCAGTCTGGCTTCTGACCTCATCATTCAATGGAAACTGTTCTCTCAAATAAGCAATGATCTTAGAGGACCAAATTTAATGAAGTTTTCTGAATCCTCATCCTTGACTTCTCTGAGGCTTCTGATGTTGATTACTTTAGCCTCCTCTTTGGGTTTTTGTTACACTCTCCTATGGTCTTCCTCCTATAGGTCTGACCATTCCTCCTCAGTCTTTTTTGATGGATATTCATGTCAGGTCCACTAACTGAGGTTGTCTCCCAACACCCTGTCCTGGGCTTTCTTATCTATACTATCTCATTTGGTAATCTCATCAGTTCTCAAAGCTTTCAATTATCATTTCTACATAGATAATGCCCACATTTATATATCCAGTCCTAATCTCCTTTCCTTAAGCTCCTGAATTACCAATTACCTTTTGAGCATCTGGAACTAGATGTCCTGTAGGCATCTCAAATTCATCGTGTCCAAAACAGAATTCGTTATCATTCCCTCCAAACCATCCTTTCTTCTGAACTTACCTATCAAGGGTATCACCATCTTCCAGTTACCCAGTCTTGAAATTTTGGTGTCATCCTCAACACCTCAACCACCCTCATAATACATATTTAATCAAATGCCAAATCTTGTTGCTGTGACCTGAATATCTGTCACATATGAATGCTCCCTTCTCTTTACATACACAGATACCCCTTTAGTTCACGCCCTCTTCATTTCTCACTGGGACTACTGAAATGGTTTTTGACTCAGGTCTCTCGCTACTCCAGTCCATTCTCCACTCTGCTGCCAAAGCGATTTTCCTAAGTGTCATTCTAACCTTGCCATCTCCCTACTTATTTAGCTCTAGTGACAATCTGTATTTGATCCTAAAGTGAGGTATTTAAAGTTCTTTATTTGGCATTTAAAGTTCTTCACAACTTGACCCTTTCCTGCCTTTCCAGCTTTCTTACACTTTACTTCTCTCAACACACCACACAATGTAGCTACACTGGCCTACTTGCCCCTGCCGGGTCTGTGCCCCCCTCCACCATATCTGAATGCTCTCCTCACTTCTGTCTCTTACTTTCCTTGTCAACCTTTAAGATTCTGCTCATTCTTCAGACCTTTACTGGTCTCCCCAGTTGCTACTGTCTTCCCCTCTTGAGATTATCTTCTATATACTCTAAAGATATTAGGTATGTACCTGGTTATTTATATGTTGTTTACTTTATTAAAATATGAGTTCTAAGAGGGCAGGCACAGTTTTTGCCTTTCTCTGTAACCCCAGAGCTTAGCACACTACCAAGTACTTTATAAATGTTTGTTGACTCAATACCTGGGGCTCCAATTAATATCAATAAGAGTTCAAGTGACTAATTCTTTGACCTCATACTTCATTGAAAAAACTGAGGCCACTGGCTACAAGCTCTCTTCTCTCTTCCTCCTTATCTCATGCCACTCAGGCAGCTCCCCTCCCCTCTCTCCTCCTTCACTTCACCAAAGCCAACTTTAGTCACTGGTCACAGACACAGTAAAAACTTAATTTAAAATGCACAATTAGAGTTCAAAGGAAACTCACTGGTCAGTTCCAACCTGTACCTGAACAAGCATTTCCTTTACAACAAAACTGTTAAGTGGTCATCTCCAGCTTTTTCTTGAGGACATCTAGTGAAGAGCAGCTAATGAGCTCTTTAGGTAGCCCCTTCTAATTTTGGATGCTCTAATTTATACATATTTATGTCAACTTTACTTTCTTAACCTCTCTCATAAATGCCCCCTTTCCTGACACTGCCACTACCCTGGTCCAGTCCCTCTTCACTTCACACCTTGCATTATCGCTTAGTAAATGCTGGCTGACTTACTGAATTGGCTATCCTGACTCCTCTTAGCTTTAAGTCATTTGCAAATGATAAATGAATCACCTATCCAAGTCAGGATAAATTAAAAATGTTAAATAATAATGAGGCAAGGACACATCCTTGGAAAATTCAACTAGAGTTCTATTTAAAAAATCACCCTCTTAATAAAAAATCCATGCTACACATCCCAAACTTCATTTACTAAACTGTCAATGAAATCTTTTTAAAAGTATTTTCCACCAAAACATTAATAAGGCTCATCTTTTCTCAAAGATAAAAGGATATTAAAGTACTGTTGTTTAAAAGAGTAGTAGGAAGAGGAGTAGCAGCTGCAGCTAACAGATTTATAGAACATTCAGGTGTGCAAAGCACGACATCGCTAAGTACCTCAGGTGATAGTACATAATGCAATTAATAACTAACTTGAAGAGACTAGAAGAAGGGAGATGATGCCAATCTTGGTTTGCCCACCAGCCTACCAGGTAAGTTTGGACTTTGAACAGCTTCACTCCCCTTCACTGCTGCCCCAAGTTTCTCTATTATCATTTATAAATGATAACACTTGCTCCCTACCTCCCTTTTGGAGATAATGAAAACAAATCTGAAAAAAAAATTGTGTTTTATAAATCAAATGTGTTAATACTTAATTTCACAGAGACTAGAATCTTTGCAAAAGTTCTAAACTTGGGGTCCATGAATTAATTTCAGGAGGTCCATTTCCACTAACCTCTAACTAAAGTTAAACATTTTCAACAATTATTTAAAATCATCATTATGAGAAGGGAACCATAGGCTTCACCAGATAGGCTCGTGTCACTAAAAGGGTTAAGAACCCTTGTCTAAAACGAGTATAAGCTGTGTAAAGAGATGGATGGTCACTGTTAAGACAAAGAAGAAAAAAACCAAGAGCACACGCACATTCAGCTCACCTGTGCACCATCATAGCTGAAAATTCCTACCACACTGACTGGTACTACTTTGTTTACACTCCGCCCCAGAGCTTTTCGGTTGAGAGCAAACACAAATGGCACATTCTGTTCACAGGCATAATCGATAATGGTATGCAATGTCTCATCCAACCCACCTAGAACAAAGAATGTAAAAGTAGTAGAGAGGTCTTAAAATGAAATGTTAGATTTAGTAACAAAAGATACTCTTTAGCCTATCAATTTTTATATTAAGTAAAAATGAAATGAAAATAGCAATCATCTGCAAATTTACATCATCTAAAAAAGTGAAAGCCACCTTTCACAGCAAACACATTATGCCAACTGAACTAATATCCTTTAAAAACTTATGGCTTAATGCTATTCATTTCTATTTAGAAGAAAGGAGAAGTATGCTTTATGAACTATTCATTTTAAGACAGTCAAAAAACAAACCCCAAGTCTTCCAAGTCCCAGATAGCAGAACTATAAAAAGCTGGAACTTTACAGACCGAGTCAATGTCTACAATCAGTCAGTTAACTGGCATTTATTAAGTGCCTACTATGTGTCACGCACTATGCCAAGCAATGGAGGAAAAAAGGCAAAAAAATTTCCCTGCTCTCAAGAGGCTCACAGTCTAATGGAGTAGACATCATGAAAACAACTATATGCAAACAAGATACATGAGATAAAATGGGGGGGGGGGTGCCAGAGCACTCAACTCCTCCCAGAGCTTTCCTTTTAGAGGGCGTTTGGGACTTACAGCTCAGTCCACTTTCCTTCCGCAACTCTACTTAGTTTCAACTCCATGGAACAAGATGCCCCCTCCTCATACCCTTTCCATTTTCGAGCTTCTTTTTGTGAGTCATCTTCTCTTGTTCAATTGTAAGCTCCTCAAGGACAGAGGCTGTCTTTCTTGTTCTTATTAGTATCCTCAGTGCCTGGCACATAGTAGGTGCTTAATAAATGTTTTTTGAATTGGGGACAATCTCATAGAGAAGGCAATAAGGAGGGCTGACAAAGGCTGCTTGCAGAAGCTAGGACTTTAGCTAAGACTTCAAGGAAGCTAGGGAAGCTAGGAGGTAGATATGAGAAGCATGATAATTCCAGGAATGGGGGACAGTCAGTGAAAAGGCAAGGAGTTAGGAGATGGAGTGTCATTTGCAAGAAGAGCAAGGAAGCCAGTGTTAATAAATTGCAGGATATGTGAAGGAGAGTAAGGTATAAGAAGAAAACCAGGTAGGAAGAGGCCAGGTTATGAAGGGATTTAAAAGCAAAATACAGGATTTTACATTTGATCCTGGAGGTAAGAGAGGGCCAGTGGAGTGGATTTAATGATGACAGAGTGTGTGGGTGGGTCGCTGTACTGTGGTCAGATTTGTGTTTTTGGAAGATTAAACTGACAACTGCGTGGAGGATAAACTGCAGTAGAGACAGACTTGAGATAAGGAGACTAAGCAGAAGGTCACTGTCATAGTCCAGGCATGAGGTGACAACGGCAAGCCATCTAAGTTAACAGATAAGGAAAGAGAGTTCATGATTTTGAGAGTCTATAATGGTCTAATCTTTTTTGATGATGGAACTAAGTAAAAAAATTTTTTCTACACTCTCCTCAAAATGTATACATTTTACTTGTAAATTATAAGCATGTACTATTATACTAATAATTACACACATTACAAAATTTATATAAAAGTACACAATCTAAAAGGATGATGTAAAGATGAAGTAACATTTGAGCCTCAAGTCAACTGGGAGCCAAGGGAATTTACTGAATAGGAGAGTGATATAGTCAGACTTCTTATTTAGGAAAATTAATTGGAGAGCTGTGGGAAGGATGGGACCGGAGAGGCAAGAGACTGATGCAGGAATACAAATTAGGAGACTTTAGCAATAACCTAAGCAAGAAGTGATGAAGGTCTGAACAAGGGTGGTAGCTGAAAAAGTATTACAGTTTAAGTGTGGTGGGGGTCTACTAATGTACTCTGCCATCAGGGTAAAAAAAGCTTTACTCTACACTGTGGTTTAATTCAAGAACTATTTTAAACACAGAAACCATCCTGAACAAATAAATGCAGGTCTTCAGCATGATTTCAGGTTTGAATACTGATTGTGCTTAATAATGACAACAATAATAAAATACCAAAACTTTGAGGGTGTATCCAAAGCATTCCCTAGGTTAATATTTGTATCTTCAAATATTTTCATCAATAAAAAAGAGAAGGAACAGATCAACAAACTGGGCATGCAACAAAAAATGGGAACTAACATATTTTTAAATTGCAATTATTTTTCAAAATAGAAATTTTGAAAATCAAAGAAGACATTAACACAAAAATTTTAAAAAAAATTTAAAAAAGAAAAAGGAAAACCAAATCACTATTAAAAATAAAAAGGTGAATTCACAACAAAAAAAGCAGTAAAAAATATTTTACCCAATTATAAGTGAAATGAATGTATTTTTTTAAAAAATGCCCATATTAACAGAGCACAAGAAATAGAGGACTGAAATAATCCAATCTCAGAAAAAGGAAACTAAACAAGCTATAATTGATCACCCAAAGGAGAAAAAAGAAAACTAAGGACCAGACATATTGTCATAAATATATTCTAAAAAATTTCTATCAAACATCCTGTCAAACAGTCAAAGGACAATTAATTCCAATATTATATTAACTCTTGAAAAAAATTTTAAAGGGTCCCCAAAAATTCTTTCTATAAAACAAATATAATTTTGATATCTAAGCTGGAGAAAGTCAAAACAGAAAGAAAAACTAACAAATATTGATGCAAAAATTCAAGGAAAATATTAACAAAGAGACTACAGTAATTAGTCACAAAGATCATATAAGTGGCCCACAAAACTCCGAAATACCAGTCTAAACCAGATTAATATGTAATAGGGAATTTTTAAACAAAAATAAATAAAAACACGGTACAACATTTATTGTTCTTCAGTCTTTCAGCTGTGTGTAACTGTTCATGAGTTGTGGACCATGCTCTCCATGGATTTTCTTGGCAAAGATACTGAAGTAGGTTGCCATTTACTTCAGTAGATCACCTTTTCTCACAACAAGGGAGAGATCCAGGATTTAGGCAAACAGAAGTTAAGTGACTTGCCCAGGGTCACACACCTACTAAGCGTCTGAGACTGGATTTGAATTCAGGTCTTCCTGACTCCAGGCCCAGCACTCTATTCACTGAGCCACTAGCTGCTTCACAATACAACATAGATAATGTTAATTTTTGGTTTTCTCAGTCAAAATCTGACCTGCCAAGATCTGTTTCTATTTGAGTTTGACACCACTGAACTAAATGTTCAATAAGAAAACTATCACCATAATATTAATAACAAGAACAATATATCAAAAGATGCAGATTTTTTTTTTACAAGGAACAACACTCGTTCCTGTAGGGGAGACAGGGAGACAGTGGGGTGGTGTATGTGTGGACATAGTAGACAATATAGGACTAAAGGATATTTAATTAATCTGGTAAATAATATTATTTATAAGCAAGAACTAGCATTATATGTAATGGGGAGAAATAGAGGCCTTTCTATTAAAATACGGTGGTAAAACCAGGATGTCCATTACCACCACTACTTCATACTGTAGTACAAATGTATGACAATAAGACTAGAAAAAGAAATCAAAAGAACAAGCAAAGACAAAGAGAAATTAAAATTATTGATTTCTGCAGAGAACTGAAACGATAGCTTTAGCAAGGTTGCAGAATGAAAAATGAATCCACATAAATCATCAGCATTTCTGTATATTCCCAACAAAACTCTACAAGAAGAGAAAGGGGAAAAAAACTGCATTTTAAAATAACTACATCAGATTGGCTAACACGACAAAAAAGTAAAATTATAAATGTTGGAGGAGATGTGGTAAAATTGGGACACTAATGTACTGTTGGTGGAGTTGTGAACTGATCCAACCATTCTGGAGAGTTATTTGGAACTATGACCAAAGGGCTATAAAATTGTGCATACTTTTGACCCAGCAATACTATTGCTAGGTCTGTATCCCAAAGACATTTCTTTTAAAAAAGGGGGGAAAAAACTATTTTTACAAAAATATTTATAATAGCTCTTTTTGTGGTTGCTAAGAATTGGAAATCGAGGGGATGCCAATCAACTGGGGAATGGCTAAACAAGTTGAGGTACATGATTGTAATGGAATATTACTGGAGTATTACAAAAAATGACAAGCAGGATGATTTCAGAAAAACTTGGAAAGACATGAACTGATGTAAAGTGAAGTGAGCAGAACCAGGAGAACATCATACACAGTAACAGTAATACTGTATGATGAAGAACTGTGAATGACTTAGCTGTTCTCAGCAATACAACGATTCCAGACAATCCCAAAGGACTAATGATGAAGCATACTATCTGCCTCCAGAAAAAGAACTGAAATTGTTTGAAAACAGACTGAAGCATGCCATTTTTCACTTTCTTTTTTTTTTTATTCAAGTCTTCTTGTACAAAATGACTACTATGGAAATGTTTTACATGATTGCATATCTATAACCTATATATAGGTGCTGGCTACAGCACTGGCCCTGGAATCAGGAGGACCTGAGTTCAAATCCAGCCTCAGACCAGACACTTGACACTTACTAGCTGTATGATCCTGGGCAAGTCACTTAACCTCAATTGCCTCACCCAAAAACAAAAAACAAACAAACAAAAAACCTACATATAACTGTTTACCATCTCATGGAGGGTAGGAAAGGAGGGATGGACAGAATTTGAAACTCAAAATTTAATAAAAATGTTTAAAAATTGTTTTAACATATAATTGTGGGAAAAATAAAATCTATTAAAAAAAAGAATGTTAAAAAAAAAAGGACAGGGGAAACTTTCTCTTGGGTCACACGAGGCTTGAAATTTGTAGGGATCATTGGCTATACCTATAGTCTTTTGCCTATTGCTGAGGGCCCTAGGCAATCTGGGTAAATTTGCTTTATATAAATGAAGATTCATTCTGTGACCAGTTAATACTGGAACCAAAAACTGAATTACAGAGAATGTATAAATCATACCTTTCAGCTAACTTCCCTAAAGTGGTCAAATCCATGCTCATTTGCTATTGGGCTACACAGACAACAATCCATACAAGGAACTCATGTTCCTAAGCTCATTAAAACGGGCAATAGCACATTACCTTTTGATTTGCTCTTTTCACAGTTTGGAGAAATAATAACACATTTTAGTTTTTTGAGTTTCAGATGTTTGAGCACTTCTCTGAGTCCCATCACAAGCCGGCGTTTGGTCTTTGCCTTTACTGGATCTTTCTGATACATCCGATCTTGAAAGCGAACCAGTTCTTTTAAAAGATCCATCACACAATCATCAACCTCTTTACTAAGCATCTGACTGCAGTAACTAGAAGAAACAACACATGATTTTAAAAATTATACTTTGGATTATACATGTGCAGTTGACTGCTATACACTACAATCCTTTTAAAAATATTTTATACACACACACACACACACACAAAACACACATCAATCAGGATCTTCAGGAAATTGTACTTCAATAAGTATTCATTAGAAATTTAGTATTTCCATTGATTAAGGCCCTCTCCTCCAACTGTAACTTCCTTTCTCTTTTATCATCACCCCTCTCATATCATTTCCTGGTTTAAAGTCCAGACTTAGCCCTGAGTCTTGACCTCAATTCTGGTCAGTTCAACTTCTAGACTTTGAAACTCCTGTATAACCTAAATTGCTGGTTTGCCCCACAGAAGTCAAGTTTATAAAGAGGAAGGGAAGAATAAGAAGAAAGAATGATGCAACAGAGGCTTTTCATTTACTCAGAAGTGTTGAAAGACTCAAAGCCACTATTATTAGGACTCACATATCACTCTTTATCACCTCCATCCCTATTCTCAAGTCTAGGTAAAAGACATTTTTACCATAAACTATTAAGCATATGTCGAGAGGAGGTCTCAAAGACGTAAAATCTGTGTTCCAGGCCTGCCTCAGACACATACTGATTAGGTGACCCTGGGGAAGTCACTATATCTCTCACTGCTCTAGCCAACTCTCTAAGACTTTAAGTTGCAGAAAGGTGCTAACCTGAAATGGTAAGATTCTCCACCAAAGAATCTCCACCCCAATGAAACAGCAGGCTTAATTTATAGGACATTATTACAGGATATAAGTTTTAGCTGACATAAATGGAGACAAGATAGGCCTTCCCCCAATACATATTATAATAGTGTGTGTCAATATGCAAACTAGCTAAGTTCTTGTGTTAATAAACTAACCTGAACTATGGTGAAGCAGCATTTGTATAACTATGGTTATTTATAACATCAGAATATCACATAAAGGCCATCATTTACAATGGCAGATAAAATCTGAAAAGATATACTACAGTTAGTTTCATGTCCACATGGACTTACTACGATGTTAAAGCTTCTTATAGAGATCTTAATATAAATGAATGGTAGTATATAGGCTTCCATATACTCACTCTCTAAATCTCCTACTGTGGATCTTTGGAAAAGGAGGAACTGGCTGTGTAACAATGGGGCAAACTTCTGCATCCTGTTGGCGTTCACCTAGGGGTTCTTCTAATGTGTTTTCCACTTCAACAGTAGAAGAGTTAGGGACTGATTCTTCTGTTTCTTCTATTTGCTCAAAATCTAAAACAAAAAAGTTTTGTGCAATTTAATATGTACAAACAGGAAGGCCACCCCCCTCTTCAAAGCCTAACCTCCTCAAATTATGCTTTAACTTTTTGAGCTTCTGATTACTCACTTATGTAAAATGGGGATAACAAAGTACAACCTACCTTACAGGGCTATTGTGATGCTTTGTAAATAAAGCTCTAAACAATTCCAAAAGTCACCTATCTAGTAATAATTCCAGATACAGAATTATATCATATTATATACTACCTCAGCTGGCTTACTTTTGTTATCTTATATAGTACACACTTCTAAAATATAAACATACTATAACTCAAACAGCTGAACAATGTTCTGGAAAAAGCAGGAACAATAATTATTTAGTGATAAGGCTGAAATTTGAATCCTGCCTCCTATGTATTAGCATTTGACTTGAAACAATTCACTTAATCTTTCTGAGCTTCAGCTTCTTACTTGTGAAATGAGGATTATAAAAGCTGAAATATATCTTCCTCATATGATTTAAGGATCAAGTGAAATTATGTATATAATGCTTTGTAACTCTTACAAGTGTCATTGAGTAATGGACAGAGAGCTAAACTTAAGTCAGAAAGTCCTAGGTTCAAGTTCTGCCTGTGACAGACACTAGCCATTGTGATTATAGGCAGATTATATAACCTCTCAGTGCCTTCAGACAACTCTCTAAGATTCTAAATTATAGACAAGATGCCAATCTGGATCACTGGATGCAGTATCTGTATCAATAAGGTCACAGGTCTGGATCCTTCTCCCTTCCAACAAACCTCCCATCTCCCCCAAAAAAGACCATTATCAATAACAACAACAACAACAACAACAACAACAACAACAACAACAAAAATAGTAACAGGTATTGGAAGCAATGCACATCCCTCACAAGGGAGATGTATTGCTTAAGATTTAATTTACAATGTCTTATTTTTAAAATTCTAAACTGGCTTGAAGGTCAAAATTCATTCTAAATTTTGTCTTGTTTAGAGTCTATGTGGAAGCATGACTAATGGGTAGAGAATTGGTCTTATAGCCAGGAAGATGTGGGTTCGAGTCTCACCTCTGATACATACTGCCTGTGTGACCCTAGTCAAATCACTAAACCTATACATAAGCTGCCTTAGGCAGCTCCATAAGGCTATGCATTATAGAAAAGATGTTAATCTGCACTGGCAGAGAGAATTTTCTCATCTAAAATCAGGAAGATATGAGTTTGAATCATGTTCTAGACACCTACTTCTGTGTGACACTTAAGAGTCATTCTCTAAGTCTTAGTATCTTCAACTATAAAACAGGGTTGTGAAGATCAAATAAGATAGGCACTTGAAACCCTTAAAATGCTATATAATGTTATCTATCATCATCATCACCATCATCACTATCACAGTCTGGTGTTATTCTATAATATCCAAATTATAATTTGTCATAAAATAACAACCAAATAATAACACCACCAATGAAACAACAAGTCTAGTCTATCTCTATTAGATGCTTAAGAGACAAGAGAAAACACTACATATCAATTATATTCAATAGAGTAAACAATCAACAAACATTTATTAAGTTACAATATGTCAAGTACTAGGATAGACTCTAGGGATACAAAGACCAAAAAAGGAAACAATCCGTGATGTTAAGGAACTTATATTCAATTGTTGGAAGCAATGTGTGTGTGTGTGCGCGCGCGTGTGTACACACACACACATATGTATGTAGAATATAAAATAAATACAAGTTAATTAGGGAGGAAGGGTACTAGCTTTTAGCACCATGCCTGGTACACAGGAGGTGTTCAATAAATGCTTGACTCAATTTGTTTAACAGGGGGATCAGGAGAGGCTTTGAAGAGAAGGTGGACCTGGAGGAGTTTTAGGAAGTGCAATCAAGGCATGGGGAATGGTCAGTGCACAGACAGGAAATGAAGTGCCATGTGAGAGAAGATCAGAGGATTATCCATAAAGTATGGGAGAAGTATAATAATACTAAGTTGGGAGAAACTTTAAAAGTCAAATATGGGTTTTTATTTGATATGAGAGACAAAAGAGAACCAGTAGAGTTTACTGAATAGGAAAGTAACAATCAAACCTATGCATAAGGAAGTTCACTTTGGTAGCTGTGATGAACTGGGGTAGGGAGAAATTTGATGCTGAGAGATCAATTAGAGGCCATTTTAACAGTCCAGGTGATGAGGAACTAAACTAAGGTGGTAGCTGTCTGAATGAAGAAGAGTCCTAAGTTTAGCATTAATAAAGCCCTGTCATGGGATACTCAAACATATACAGGAACAGAAACATTTGCATTTGAAAACTGTCAACTGTTAAACTGAATACATTAAAATAATCAGTTTTCATAAGTAATACAGGATCCAGAATATTTGGGTCTTAAAAAAATGGTACTGTCTTGAACTAAAGGAAGTTCAAATTATACTTTTAATTCTTTTTATGGCACTCATGTTTTGGAGTAATGGATACATTTTAACCATTTCCCAGGGTTGTTGTGAGGATAAAATTTGCAAAACTCTTAGCACAATGTCTGGCACATAAGAGCTACATAAATGTTAGTTATTATTATTTGTCCATAATAATACCAAGCACAGGCCACATCATATCTACCATTACTGTTACTGCTATTTATTTTCAAGATTTTAGAAGCAACCTCAACAAAGAGAAATCAGTACCTGGCTGGGCAACCTGGTCAGCTGATTTATTATTAATATTATTCGCCAAATCTTGCTGAATCTTCTGAGCAAATGCTGGAACTGTAAGCTGTTCTAAGAGATGTTTCTGTTTTCTCTCTTCTCGCTCTTTCAAAATAATCTTTAAAATAAAATTCAACAATAGCTGTTGATATATGTACACGGAATAGTTTCTCAAAAAGACTAGCTCCCATGGGGAAAAAAAGTTGCCCAGGTAATAATGCTGCCAATACACAAAGAAATAAGTTACATGCTTTTGCTTTTCAATTACATAATTCATAACCTATTTCATATTGCACCTATTAGATGACACATATGTATCCACTGTTCATGCCTACTGAGGCTTTCTTGTAGTCCTTCAGCATCACATTCTACTTACACAGCTAGATGATGCAATGGATAGACAGCTGGTCCTGAGGCCAGAAAGACTTGAATTTAAATTTGGCCCCAGACATTCTATAGCTGTGTGACCTTTGGCAAGTTACTAACCTCTAATTGACTCAGTTTCTTCATTTGCAAAATGGGGATAATAATAACTTCTCATGGTTGTTATATGGATTAGATAAAAAAAATTTGTAAAGCATTTTGTAAGACTTAAAGATTTACATAAATAGTAGTCGTTATTACTGGAACAGAAGAAAATGAGCCAGCTCTCAATTAATGAGTAATGTAAGAGAGCAGTAAAGACAGGGGATGTAAAACAAAACAAATAAAAACCAATAAATGCCATTACAAACTTACTTACCTGTCTAATTTGACAAAAAGCTTCTAGTGTTTTCTGCTATTTTCTATGCCACCCTCAAAGATAAATATATTTAAAGTACAATCACTGGCATGTTGTTGTTGTTTGTCCTTCATTCTCAAAAAGGACCATGACATCAGGAAAGGGATGCCATGACTTGCAAGTGAATTGCATTAAAGCGAGGGAAGTCTGTGCAAAGTCAGTAGCCTGACTTTCTCCTCTGGAGTCATCTAGGTCCAGTGGCAAGATATAGATCAGGATATTTCAGTTAAAAATAGTCCTAAGAATTGTCCCCTTAAGTAGGTGAAATAATTTCCCCATAACATATAATCTATATATTGGGGAAGTATTGTGAACTCACATGACATATTCTTTTGGATTGCCAATAAATATATTTCAGTTATTAAAAGCTGATGTCCTTAAAACTGAATCCCTAACCAAATAAGAAGAGTAAACAAGAATTAAATGGTAAAGACATTTAAACAGACTGGTTGGAAGACCTCTCACCAATTTTTAATGCTTGCATCAAGTAAAATACATAATATACCTTCTTCAGGGATGTTGGCTTTTTGGCCTTTGGGACTTCCCTTTGCTTGCCTTTCTTTATTAATGGAGAACTGGAATCCAATGGATTGTGAGGAGACATCATTTGATTTAACCGGTGATTTTTCACTGATGTTGCTAATTCTTTGGAAAGTACTGGTACTGCACCAACTGAAAGGAAATTTATATGAAAGAGTAACAGACATTATTTCAATAGTAATTGCCAGAGACCATAAGACTTTTAAAAAGTTCTGGTATTCATTCAAATAGTTCAAAACATTGGTTTTCTTAAACATATATTTTTTCTTTATTATGAAATCACACTGGTTACATTAGGGTGGAAGTATACTTTGATGATAAATCTGTTTTTCCAGCTCTAAACTATAAGATTCCATAAATTTTCTTTAAAAAACATTTTAAATTAAATCTATCCTTCCTACTACTCAACTTCAGTGAGCAAATTAAAAACAAAACAAAACAAAAACTTGAAAAATAAAGCCCTACCAGGATAATTCAGAAAGGAAAAAAAAATCCTTATCTGCCACCTGTGAAAATGTACATCCCTTTCTTTATTATAAGCATATCACTTCTCTATCAGGTGGTGAGTGATTTATTTCAGCTTCATTATTTTGGACTACTTGTTTATCACAGTCTTCCTCATGTTAAACCAATCCTGTACTCTTAGTATAACTCTAATCTGTTCATACTAGGTAATCTTTCAAATATGCTGTTGTAGCCTCTCTGAAAATATTTTATTTAAAAATTTTGCATCTATGTTCATTAAGATATTGCTCTATTATTTTCTTTCTCCAAGTTCTTTCTCCCTGCTTTAGGTATTGAGACCATATTTGTTTGTTTGTTTTGTGAGACAATCGGGGTTAAGTGATTTGCCCAGGGTCACACAGCTAGTAAGGGTCAAGTGTCTGAGGCTGGATTTGAATTCAGGTCCTCCAGACTCCAGGGCTGGTGTTCTATGCACTGTGCCACCTAGCTGCCCCTTTAGATCATATTTGTAATACATTTGGAAGAGGGTCTTCTAGTCTTATTGCAAATAGTTCTTCTAATATTGTAATTAATTGTTCTTTGATTGACATAATTAATTTGTAAATCCATCTTGGGTCTGTGATTTTTCCCTTTGGGATTTTCTTTATGTCTTATTCAATTTCTGTTTGTGAAACTGGATTATTTTATAGTCTACTTCATCTTTTGTCAATCTGAGTATTTCATATTTTTAAATATTTATTTTCCCTTAGTTATCAATTTTGTTAGCATTTAATTGGGGAAAAGTTTCTGATAATTTCCTGTTTATTTTTTTAACTAAGGAAAGGATTTTTGATTTGTTGTTCAAATGATTTACTCCTTCTTTCTCTAAGCCCTTTGCAATTTGGCTTCTGACCTCATCATTCAACTGAAACAGCTCTCTTCTCTCCAAAATTACCAATGATCTCTTACACGTAGAATCTAATGGTCTTTTCTCAGTCCTTTTCTTTCCTAACTTCTGAGATCAACTTTTGATGACAATCATCCTCTTCTCCTGGATGCTCTCTTATCTCTAGATTTTCATGACATGGCTCTTTCCTGATTTTCCTCCCCATCTAATAGCTCTTTCTCAGTCTTCTCTGTTGTATCTTCATCCAGGTCAAACACACTACCATAGGTGTCCCTTACGGCTGTCCTAGAATATCTTTTCTCCCCCTAAACTATTTTACTTAGTGATATCATCAGCTTCCATGGATTCATTTAACATTTCCATGTACAGATTCTTGAATCTATTTATCCAACCCTACTTTGACCTCCAGTCTACCTTCAATTGCCTTTCTGACATCTGGAACTCTATAGGCATCTCAAATCCAACATGTTCCAAACGGAATTCATTATGTCTCTCCTAAAAATTCTTCTTTCTCTTAAAATTCCCTTTATCTCCTAAGAGGGACTTGTATAACTGTCATATTTCCAGCTTCACTATTTATGAACTTGATCAAGTTAAGTGACTTAACTACTCTAAGCTTCAATTTATTGATCTCTACTTCCTCCTGAGTGAGACTACCTGTGTGAAATCCACTTTATAATAAAGTTTCCATTGCTTTTAATTCCTACACATAATAAAATCAGGTTCTTTATGATTCTGTGAAAACCTATTATTCAAATAACCTTTGTATGAACAAAACTAATTACCCACAGAATATAACATTAAATTGTTTTCAACCTTTTCTTTCTGAAACAAGCAGATAATGAAGGGAAAGGAAGAAAACTGACTTATCATACCAGAAACTACAATAGGTTTGGAAGACTGTTTTGAATTCTGCGAATGCTGCTTTTTTTCCAATGCAGCCAGCATTCCTCCCAAATCCAACTTCACTGGAATTTGACTTTTCTTCCCAAACTTTTTTGAAGTAGTCTAAAAATAAAGTAAAAATGGGATGTTTTCTTTATGCACACACATATACAGAGCCCACATAAAAACAACATATATTTATGTGTACATATACATACACACATACATATGTATGTATACGTATTTGTCAAGTAAAATAGATTCAGATATCTCTCTGCTGAAAACTTTAACCATAATCCTGATGTTAAAACATTTTAAGTAATATATAGGGCCACTCATGCCACCTACTAACCAAAACTTGTAACCCTTATTTATAATCACAGAATGATTGAATGTTAAGAGCTAGAAAATTCAACCCACTATTTCTGCAGATGAGGAAACTAAGGTACAGAAATGTTAAAATGACTACAAGAAAATAACATAGCAAGCCTGTCGCAGTTAGTTCTCTGCCTGTTTCCTGAGCTCCAGTTCCAATTCATCAACTGCCTATCAAATATTTCAAAATGGCTATTCCAATTTCAAACTCAATGAATCTAAAAAATAACTGATTTGCTTTTCCCCATAACCCACCTCTCAACTAAACTTCTTTTTCCATTGGGGGCACCACCATCCTTTGAGTCTTTTAGGTTCCCAACCATGTCATTATCCCTGACTCTTTACTCCCCCTTCACACTATATATCCAATCAGTTGCCAAATTTTGCCCTTTCTACATCTGTAACACTTCTTTTATCTAACACCTTCTCTCTGGCTCATACAGCCTTAGTTCAGGCCCTTGTTACCTGTCGACTACATGATTAAAACAGCCTCCTAATCGATAGCCGGCCTAAAGTCTCTCCCTTATTCTGATCCTCCATATAGCTGTTAAGGTGGTTCTCCTTTAAGATAAAAAGGAGTTTTCTCACATGGCACTTACCTCCTGTCTTCATGTCTTTGGACTGGTCATCCTCCAGGCCAGGGAAGCACCTCCTCATTAGCCCCTAGTAGAACCTCGCCCCTCTTTTAAGTTGCAGCTCAAGACCCACCTTTTCCACAAAACCATTAATGATTTCCCTCTTCCCCAACTATTAGGGATTCCCCTCCAATTACTTTATTTTCAGTCTCCTCCAACAGAATATAAGCTCCTTAAAGAGAAGAGATTGTTTTGTTTTTTGTCTTTGTATCCCCAGCACCTAGCATACTTGACCGCCTGGCAGATAATAAATGTGGGCTGACTGAATGATATGATTACAAAACGACAGCCAAAAGGTTTTATTTGCAAGAAAGTCCATCAAAATGCAAAGCTGTCTGGAATGCCATACTGTAAATGACAAATGTGAGGAATTCTACCCCAATAAGCAGACTAATACTGAAATGCAGTAAAGATATATGTAAACATAAATAAATCTACGCAATTAAAATATAAACTCAAATTTAAAAAAATTCACTGGAAAGCTCAACTTCATTCCAGAAAACTAATTAACCTATTGAAGAGATTTTGTTCTTAAGCTCACCTCTGATTGCTGTTTAGAGTGAAATTTTGATGACTGTGGTCCATTTCTTCTGTCAGAAGTCAGTATATGGTTAACAATTTCTTCAGAACTCTGGACAAAACCAAATATCTCTTTAGTTTACCAAATTTTATTTTGCTTTAATGGCTTTGTAAGCTATTGAAGTTTATTTTAAAACTGCAATAGCTTTTGAAATGTGATGTATAATACATATTTAAAAATGCCTTTAATCGTTCTATTATGGTCATGGGCAGGGGAAGGAAGGGAAGCAAAGAGTAGAGGACCCACTCCACTTCCACTTATCAGCTGACTGCTCTGTTCTGACAAAAAAGATTAAGCAAAAACACCTAAGCCAGTGACTGCATCTGATAAAATGAACACATTCCACCCCCTATGCAATGAAGAGGGAGGTATATTTCATCAGTTCTCAAAGATCACCAACTGGTTTTTCCAATTACTCAGTTTGGTTTCATTTTGATGATTCTTTCATTTACAATACACAACATGCTTTTAAATGAAAGTTTCCTAGAAAACTTTCTCTTCCGCGTTGTGGGCAGTGGATTGATGGAACATTACAAAATATACAAAATGCTTTAATTAGAAAGATAAAATAAAACCTGACAATAAAATTTGATTTTCTAACCCATTTTTCCTATCATTATGAAATGGAAAAAAAAAAGTTTTAGGAGACAAAGTACAAGAGTAAAGTTCCTAAGCCATTCTACTGAAGTGTTTACTTAAACCACAAATGGCATACCAGCAGGAATTATATTTTACCTCTTTTAAAATGTTACCTCTGGTTGGTGTTTAGATAAACATTTTGATGGCTCCAGTTTGTTTTTTCTTTCAGAAGCAACTGTCAGATTAGGAAACTCTTCAATATCCTAAATAAACCACAGATATTCTCTAAGAATTGAAAGAAATAATTCAGTAAAGCCTCATATGCTTACTATTATCTACAATACTTCACATAAAACACATTTCACAAAGGCTGTGGAGGAAAATACTTTTGTAACAGAACTGGGAAATTATTTCTTGCTTAAGGCACCCTTAAAGAATTTTTAGTATTCACAAACCAGTTCTACTTCATGGTAACCACTGATCTAGGCTAAGATTAACTCAGGTCTATGAATTCAGGATTGGGGTGAGAATATGAGGAAATTAAAGACTAAAATGCAATAAAAACAATTCTACTAGTGACAAAGGATAAGCAGAACACAATTCGTAAACTTAAAAACATACTAGTTCAGATAAAAGGGGCACAACACTTCAGCTCCATATTCACCATGGCAACAACAGGCAAGCTAGGTGAGAAAGGCATTCCTACTAAGGTCAGTTCAGAATTAAACTAAATCCTCTCACACCAATTCTCCATAGGCTGTGCCTCTTAAGCCTTAGGAAGCAAAGACATTAAATAACCTCCACTGTCCTTAAAAACACCAGCCTAATCTATATAAATAAGTACTCCAACTATCACAAGGTACAGTAAAGCATAGTCTTTTTCTGAATCCACTTAGAGATGACCTATGACAAGAGAACTTTATGCCAAATTCTTTCTCTATAGTGAGGTCCTATAGTTGACTTTCTATTTTAAGTAACCTGGAAAGTCTGAATAGATATCTTCTGGTATCTGAATAGGTAGCAAAATACTGTATTTTGTACGGATAATCAAGGAAATAGTGCTAACATAAGTAGTTTTGTCAAAAGAAAAAAATTTATACACAATTCAGATTTACTTCAAAACTAGAAGATTAAAGAAAAACACCAACTTAAATTAGAAAATAAATATAAACCTAGGTTTCTATGAACACAAATATATTTAATACACTATGGAAATTTAATAATAAAAACAAATATACTTCAATTCTTGGTGGCTCCTGGACCATAAGAGTTTCATAATTTGCTTTAGGCTTATTTTTCTTTTTCTTGTTCTTTCTCATTTCTTCCTTGTCAATTTCACACACATTGTTGGTTTTTGTCTATGAAAAACAAAGTAAGTGGAAAAAAATACTGCTTTTTAGAAAACGCAGCAGAAGATGACAATGGATTAAATCTCTCTCAATACAGCACACTGAAACACAGCAAACTCAGTTGAATTATAAAATGTTACAGAATGTTAAGGGGTCCCCTGAACTTGTCTTTTCAAGTTGCCATATTTTCCAGAAACAATGGACCCAGAGTATGTAAGAGGCCCTGAACATGCCATGGATGAAGCCCCTCCCTGAGCTGACATAATTTGTTGTTTGCACTTCCCTGTGTGTCCTTGGCAGTCAAGACAGGCACTAGTCAGTCTGCACCAGACTGAGAAACTGTTTGTACAGCTGGAACCCTTGTAGATAAGCAGACCATCATATCTTCATAATTGAGCATTTCCCAAGAGAAAAGAATGTTTAATCTTCCATTTGTTTTGTTTTGTTTTTTGCTAGGCAATGGGGTTAAGTGACTTGCCTAGCGTCACACAGACGCCGCATTTGAACTCAGGTCCTCCTGACTATAGGGCCAGAGCTCTATTTACTGCACCACCTAGCTGCTCCATCTTTTTCTTTTCCTTTTTTTTTTTTTAAAAAGAATGTTTAATCTTAATTATTCATGATTTCTCCTCCTCCTCTACCACCCTTATTTAGGTGGAGATTTTTGTTTCTCCTCCTCTATTGCAATTTCATAAATATGCAAGCTTCTGTTTGGATTCTAAACTCTTTGCATTTGCTTAGGGCTCCACATGTACATTCATTTCTCTCGTAATAAACCTAATTTTTCATGTAAGTTTCATGAAGTTGTGGTTGCCTGTTGACAAGTCATCTAAGAGGTCTTCATCTGTTTTCAGCCCACAAACAGAAAAATATAATTTATGCCATGAGCCCTTCCTATTTCTTCCCCTCCCCACCCCGAAACAGCTTACAATCCAATATAGGCTCTACAAATACATTCATGTTAAGCATATTTTCCCATTAGTCATGATGTAAAGAACAATTAGAACTAACTGGACAAACCACAAGAATGAAGCAATAAAACGAAATAACAAAGGAAAAGGAGAGCAAACAGTATGCTTCCATCTGCATTCAGATTCCATATTTCTTTCTTTGGACAGCAACTTCCATCATGAATCTTTTGTAGTTGTCTTAGATTCTTGTTTTTCTTTGAAGAGCCAAGTCTATCAAAGTCAGTCATCACACAACGTGGCTGGTACTGTGTACAATGTTCTCCTGGTTCTGCTCATTTCACTCAGCATCAATTTGTACAACTCTTTCCAGGTTTTTCTGAAATCTGCCTGCTCATTATCTCTTATAGCACAATAATGTTCCATTATATTTATATACCACAACCTGTTCAGCCATTCCTCAATTAATGGGCATCCCCTCAATTTCTAGTTCTTTGCCACCATAAAGAGTTACTATAAATATTTTTGTACATGTGAGTTCTTTTCCCATTTATATGATCTCTTTGGGATACAGACCTAGAAATGGTATTGCTGGGTCAAAGGGTATGCACAATTGTATAGCCCTTTGGGCACAGCCCCAAATTGCTCTCCAAAATGGTTGGATCAGTTCATAACTCCACCAACAATGTATAAGTGTTCCAATTTTCCCACATCTTCTCCAACATTTATCATTGTCCTGTTTTGTCATGTTAGCCAATCTAACAGGTGTGACGTAGTATCTCAAGAGTGGCTTTGATTTGCATTTCTCTAATCAATAGTGATTTAGAACATTTTTTCAAATGACTACAGATAGCTTTAGTTTTGTCTTCTGAGAACTGCCTGTTCATATCCTTTGATCATTTATCAATTGGGGAAATCAAACTGCATATTAAATATACTTTGTAAATATCAATTCTGGAGCATTTATTAATTTCTGAATACCACTACATTGTTGTTTGAGTTAAAAATTATTTAGTCTAATTGTTCTAGAGAACAATTTGGAATTATACAAGAAAAGTATTCACACTTTTTGACCCAAGGATCTCATTTACTGGGTAACAAGGTCAAAGACAGAAAATCTCGAAAATAATCATAGTGGCAATTTTTGCAGTACCAAAAAATTGAAGCAGCAAAAACCAATTGGGTGATGAATGAAGAGACCGTGGTACGTGAAGGAAATGGATTAGCATTCCATAAAAAAACACATGTGCATAAGGAAGACATAAATGATACAAAATGAATTAAGTAAAATATAAATAATGTACACTGTGGTCAAAAAGTATAAATGAAAAGTACACAAAAAGGCATCTGAATTCAAATGAAATGCAATGATAAGTCTTAGATCAGAGGACAGATGATGAAACCACTCTCCCTCCCCAAGGTTCCATACTAGGCCCTATTCTTTCCTCCCTCTATACTTTCCCTCTTAGTTTAACCTTACCAAGCTCCTATGAGTTTAATTATTATCAATATGTTTGACTATTTTTCTTTTTTAATAGGGAGAGTTATGTTGGAGTTAAGGCATAAAATCAATTAACAAGCATTTATTAAGCACCTAATATATGACAAGCACTATTTGTATATGTATGAAGAAAGAATAAAATAATTCCCATTCAAAAGGAACTTACATTCTAATGGGGGAAGCAAGTACATACATAAACATACATAACATAAATATAAAGTAAATAATTAAAAAGTAGTTAAATACAAGAAAATTTTAGAAGAAGGTCACTGGAAGTTGAGGGTATCAGGAAAAGTTTTATGCAGAACAAAGTGCTTGAGCTGTGTCTGAAAGGAAGGGAGGAAATCTATGAAATGAAGGTAAAGAACAGGTAGGAGTACCTTCATTGCATATGGAACTGCCAGTCCAAAAATAAGATTGTTGTCATTTGTCCTTCATTCTCAAAGAGGACAATGACATCAGGAAGATAATGTCATAACTTACAAGTGAATTGGATTGAAGCAAGAAGGGCTGCATAAAGTCACCAGCCTCACTCTCTTTGTCAGAGTCATCTGCGTCCAGTTGCAAAATATAGATCAAGATGACTGGAGATGCCTCCCCACCCCCCTCAAAGTAAGAAGAAGGGAAATGGAGTGTTGTATGTGAGAAACAAAGAAAAAGAAATCTGTTCTGCACTGCAGACAACCCTGCAAAGTAGGGGCTATTATTATGCTCATTTTACAGATAAGGAAATTGAGGCCAACAGGCTATGTGACTTGCCATTCTAACTTGAGGCCCAGCGTTTTACCCACTGCGCCACTTTTTTTTTTTTTAAAACAAAGGCCGAGATCCATGGGTGGATTGTAGATACAATCAGTTTTGGTTGATGTAGTTAGTTGTGAGAGGCTACTTCTCCTTTTTAAAAAATTGTTTATTTTGTGTTATAGGCATAGTTCACTGAGAGGAGGGGTAAATTCAGAAATTAAAGCCATACCAAACTAAAAATATCTATTTTTTTTTTTACTACCTCCTCTCCATACTATCTTCTTCCTGTCCCCACCTGTATAAATGAAGCTCGTGAATCAATGTGTTTGATGTGGATCTGGGCAAAATTCTAGCATATATCATAAAAGGGATGGTTAATAAACATTTAGAAAAGAAAGCAGTTATCTCTTTCTGATTTAGAACACGTCAAGCTAGACTAACTGCATATCTTTTTTGACACGGTTACTTGTTGGTAAGAGAAGTGCTGTTAATATGAATTGATGTTATCTCTGCTTATCAGTTTGCCTGATGTTAATACTCAGGACATCACTGAGTATTAATTAACACAAAGGTTAAAATTAATTATCTGAATTTTTATGACTAGTGTCTCTGATAAGGGCCTCATTTCTAAAATACATAGAGAACTGAGTCAAATTTATAAGAATACAAGTCATTTCCCAATTATATGAACAGGCAGTTTTCAGATGAAGAAATTAAAGCTATCTATACTCATATGAAAAAATGCTCTATTGATTAGAGAAATGCAAATCAAAACAACTCTGAGGTACATAACACCTATCAGATTGGCTAACATGACAAAACAGGAAAATGATAAATGTTGGAGAAGATATGGGAAAATTTGAACACTAATGCAATGTTGGTGGAGTTGTGAACTGATCCAACCATTTTGGAGAACAATTTGCAACTACGCCCAAAGGGCTACAAAAATGTGCACACCCTTTGAACCAGCAATAGCATTCTAGGGCTGTATCATAAAAATGGGAAAAGGACTTACATGTACAAAAACATTTATAGCAACTCTTTCAGTGGTGGCCAAGAATTGGGGATTGAGGGAATGCCCATCAATTGGGTAATGGCTGAACAAGTTGTAGTACATGAATGTAATGGAATACTATTGTGCTATAAGAAATGATGAGCAAGCCAACTTCAGAAAAACCTGAAAAGACTTGTATGGACTAATGCTGAGCGGAGTGAGCAGAACCAGGAGAATGCTGTATATAGTAACAGCCATGTTGTGTGATAACTAACTTTGACAGATTTAGCTCTTCTTAGCAATGCAAGGATCTAAGACATCTCCAAAAGCCTCATGATGGAAAATGCAATCCACACCCACTGAAAGAACTATGGAGTTTGAATGCAGATCAAAGCATACTATTTGTTTTTTTCTTCTGTTTTGTTTCTTTCCTTCTGTTTTGTTTCTTCTTTCTTGTGGTTCCTTCTATTGGTTCTAATTCTTCTTTACAACATGACTAATGTGAAAATATGTTTAATAGAAATGTATATGTAAAGCCTATATCAGATTGCACGCCATCTGGGAAGGGAGGGGGAGAAAATTTAAAACTCAAAAGATTATGGAAGTGATTGTTGAAAACTAAAGATAAGAATTAATTAAAAAATAAAATAAAATTAATTATCTGAAATAAGAAGGAAACTGAGGACAAAGTTACTGAGCCATCTATGATTTAATTTGCAAAGCTAATATTTGCATATCAAACCAGGTCACCTTACTCCTCAGGTGTCAGAGACAAGGAGTGATTTATAGAGCTGATTTTTATAATAAAAAAAGAGGAATAAAAAAATGACAGAAACTTATTTTGAACATAATTGAATTGGAC